GAGAATCTGCGAGATGAAAATCATGAGAAAATTTGAAGAAAAAAAAAAGTAAAGACGAAGGTAAAGAAATGGAAAGGTGGAAGAACGGCGTCGCCGCCATCGTGTGATTTGTGGAAAACAAATAATTGTCAGAGCTGCCAATCACAGTGCTCGTTGGCCGACGTCCGTCCGAAGGTTAGCCCTTGATGAAAATCCACCGATTTATTGGCCAACCTTCGACCTTAGGCTCGCCTTCAAACGTCACCGTTCTCCGCCATTCTGGAATTTCTCGTTTTGTGGATTCCTCACGAGTTTAAATTTAGATTGGAACGTTCATTCTTTTAAATGAAATGCAATTTGACGGCAAATGTATGTTAAGACTGATCACAAAACGCACACGCATTTAACTATATTATTATTCGAATAAAATTATTGATTGTTAAAACACAAATATCTCGATTTGTCCATAAATTAGCCAGAAAATTATTCAAATGCGATATAGCTCGTAATATAATCAAGCAACGAATAAAATAACTCTTATCATCTTTTTTTCAATGATTACACATCCCGTTGTCGTTATCATTCCGTTACATTTATTTATCGCTTATGCATCATGTCACACGTTTGTTGCAATGCTGCCATTAGTTGCTGTCACTTGTAAAAAGTCGCATGCGCGTAAAAAAATGTCCGGATGAAGTGGAAAAGTGGAAGACGGGCGAGGGGAGGAATTGGAGGGTTACGAATGGCCTCGTTACGGTATAGAATTATGACGTCGGTTATGAGAGACGCAATAATTGCGGGAAAACGCCGACCTGGCCACCGACAGAAATATTATTTATGGTTTTAAGAGGATGAGCGCAAATCGTGATACTTGCAATAGTAAAATATGACCGACTGGTTTTGTCCGCCGAGAGTATTGATGTCTTGACTTGGTTTCTGATAAAAAAAGTACGATTTATCAGCGTTGAGGTAACTAAAAACAAGAAATATGTAAGCAGCTTGGCGATAATGTTTCGTGCGGGATTGTTATACCACATATTTTACAGATATCAAATCATCAAGCTGGTCACGACATTTCATTTCCTCCATTTTCTTAAGTGACACTAATTCAATAAGTTTCCGACGGTATTATTTGTTTTTACGGCCATTTATATTTTCAGCAGACGCGCGAGTGTACCTACACATTTATGATCGCGCCACGCACCATCTAATTCAGTTTACATCGTATACATTATTTATATTTAATTTATGGTCAGTGCACAATCCACTCGGGTGAGAGATGGGGCTCGGCGCCTTTTGTAGTAACACGGTAAGCCTATTAGCTTGCTCGTCCGTCTGTACATCCGCGGCGCGTGTGACAGCTTGCCGCGCCGAATGAATTTTAATGAAATCCAGTGTGTGCTAGAGTGAGCGAGCCAACCCCTGACCACTGCCCACGGGCTGAATCCGACAAATTCTCCCTCCGCGTTGTCTAATCTGAATACATGCATATCCGAGAGCAGCGCATAAAGTGGAGACGCGACGACGCGGATGACTGGCATCGGCATCGCTTTTCACATCGTTCCATCTCAGATTCGCGAACGCGCTCGATTAAAGAAAATACTACGAAATTTATTAGGTACACAAAAAGATGGAATGCTTTTACATCTTTCTGCTATCTTTTCCGAACATATTTCGTGAAACCGTTTGAATTTTAAATTGACGGGAAAGACATTACAATTTGAATGAAGGCAATGGAAATCAAATTATGGCACGTCATTCTATTAGAAGATTTGCGATGGTGAGTTAGAGTAAGTTACTTATACAAAATCGATCCGGCATGTTCAACACTAACCTACTTACGTCCATTACGACAATTAGAAGCCTTACTTATAGATAACGGATAGATAATCATCGTAATATTAATGCAACGAGACTTTCACATCCGCGAATGACCCAGATTCATTCGCCTACAATATTATCGATTCGACATTTATCCGATTTGAAAGGCTGCGAGGAAAATATTTAAAGCTTTTAAAATTCTCTGTAGATCATGAAAGACAAATTGAAATAAAAGATTCAATTTAAGTTAGCATACGTTAAATGACACCGAAAGCGATAAAATTGGAATTTTTTCTTATTAAATTTATCAATTTCATGCAAATTATACTTATGATAGTCGATTCTCTCCGTTCAAATGTTTTCTTAACATCTAAGAGCAATCTACAGAAATGAAGAGAGTTTTTATAAAACTCGAGTGACCACTGGAAGAGACAAAAGCTGCCTTGGCTGATAATTGGATGGTACTTCGAGTAGAATTAAAACAGTCGAAACATTGAACAGTGAACAACGTCGAAGATGATGCCCTCTCAATCTTTTCGTACTTTTTTCCGATCATCCCCTTCCGCCTGTCGCGACCCTCGGCTATTATTTGCGACTTCGAAAGTGAAACAGAGCGAAACTCGTCTTAAAGGAACTTTTAACAACGCCAGAAAAGCACGAATTCACGCACACTCCTGTATCCTTCGTCGCTCTAATCTTTAAATAACACCCCCGTTTTTCTCGCTGAGAGTGGTCTATAACGTCTTTCAGTTATCGTATTCCTCGAGATGAAGAATGTAAAAGAATTATATAAAATATAAAACAAATCCCAATTCTCTCTCTGTTTCATCATTAAAATCTGAAAAATGTATGAATCAAATGCAGAGGAGAGTATAAAATCTAGAATCAGACGCGTATAAAATAACATAATATAAAATTGAAACAAATAAAACACTGTTTGCAGCAAATAATACATATTGCCCCAAAAAATATATGCAATAATACGAGCAATTTAAGAGTCGTAATTGCAACACAATGTATCACCAAAATATTAGATTTCTTCCGATAATATTTTCAATTTAAAAAATGAATCGAGAAGTTTCCAACGTTTGTTTGATTTTTGTCCGAACATTAAGCGTTAAAATTTTCCAACAAACGAGAATAGGCAGCACTCGAGGGCAACGACATGAGAGAACATTGGCATATGTCAGTAACATGTTACTTTTATTGTCGGAATACAGACTTTACCGTCGTTTGCGCGTGAGGCGTTGAGATCGGCTTCGAAGCCGATACAACAATAACAATAGAGGACTAGATATTGATTACTTTTCTGCGTATTGTTGCAACATGACGGAATTGCCGTGCATATGTAATAGTGTATATTCAATTTTAGTAAATGCGCCGTAGCGTGGGCAACTTTCGACACCTATTCATTACAATATTCATCAGTATTTGATGTCGAGACGGTGCCGCACCTCTTAATACACACTGCAAACAAATCGGAAGACTAATAATAAAAATAATAAAATAATAAAAATAATAAAATAATAAAAATAATAAAATAATAAAAATCTTGTAAAAAGATATCAGAAAAAATTCTTTTTCACTTATTTAATAGAGAATTAATCTGTTTACCTTTTTTATTTATTTATGATCCGCCGAGTTTATACAGTTTTCTATTATATTTAATACAAGTCTAAAAGTTGAAAATATCTCGCAAGTAACGCTGCAATTGTGTGACTCGCATGCGCAAAATTGAGTGAGTGATGAGTTTGATATTGAGAGTTTGGCGGTCAAATGTACATATATATAAAAAAATGATTGATTCAGAACGGGGAAAAAAAAATATTTAAAAAATTAAAAAGAAAATATAATTAATAAAATTTATATGATAGACTTGTGAATCCGCGAATTCTCGCGGGCATAAAAAAATTAAACTACCCTAAAAAACTTCCGTTTCATGAAAATCTAATTCGCTCACTTCCGAAAAAGGTGTTAACATTCTAGTGGTTTTCACGAATTTCGTTTTTAGGAATTTTTTAAAGCGTGAAATATTTCGGATATCGCGAATCAAACAAAAGTACGTTTGTTGTGCAATAAAAAGGAAGCTGCTTGCTAGCTCGCATCTCCGGTATTTATGGCAAGCAGTAGTTTTCACATCGTGAAATCGCGTATATTTTTATTATGAAACAATATCATAAAACAAAATTCGCTCGCGAAATCCACATATTATGAATCTTGATATGTCACAATTTGCATGACGGAATAAAAATATAATATTCGATAATCTTGACTTTAAGTATGTGCACATGCAGTTACTATTAGTGCAGTAATAGAAATACTATAATGTTTTTTGGAAGAGATATGTTCTTTTATAAAATTTGTTCGAAAACAGTTTCAATTATGCCGCTACATGTTTTTGTGTGAAATATCGATCTTCCTCGTCATTATACGATATGCATTAACTTGCAAAGCTTTCCCCGAAGGAAAAATCCCGAGATAATTTGATCTTAATTTGCAGGAACTACATTACCGGATACATCTTGAATTATTCAAACCTAATTTATTTTACCGCGCGCTGCCGTTTTTAAGCTTTAAAGCAACAATCGCTTCACTTTTCTTAAAGCCGACGCTTCCAATTCCAACAAAATTTTATGAAACTTGACAATGTTAACGATAATCGAAACATTAAAAGTATGTTAATCACAAATCTGAATTTAACTTATATTAAGTAAGATAACCAAATGCAAGAAACATGCAAATTTTTTCAAAGTAAAAATGACATATAATGCCATTGCGGGGTTTTTTGTATCGCGACAAAGGGAAGTCCTTAAAAGAAGTTTCGTTGCGGAATTTCGCGATTCTAAAATAAAACATTTAATGTCGCACATTTATTCTACCGCACTTCTAAATGTATTCAAGGAAAAGTTCTCGTTTGCGAAATGACTTATACGATTGTTCGTTTGCAAAGTTATCAACATATTTAGTTTTATTTAGCCTTATTTAATTAACAAATATCAAAGTAAAAAAAATTAAAATAGATATTATAATGTTAATATGATATTAAAATACAAAGTACCATTTCGCGCGAGAATGACGTTAAGGAAGATCGCATGAGTAATAAGCTTAAATGACATCCAGAGGTTTCACATACGGCGTGTATAACAATCTGACATAATATGTACATTACTATATTTTGCGAAATATCCTTATGCTCGCAGTTACTATGCGTCGACCGCATTTCCACCGCGTTTGGCACCACCGTTGAAGCGGCCGCGTTTGATGCCACCGACACGAGCGCAGCATCCGAAGCTACAGAAACAACAATCAACGGCAAACATCGGCACAATACCCGACTTGAATCAACTTAAAGTGTACAGTAAGTGCTTCATTCAAAACAGTAAGTTTTTCTAAAACAGAAAGCGTTTTCATTATGCGCGATGTACTTATTGTTAGTAGTCGTTTTTTCTTCTTCACATTTAAAACTAACATTTCGATTTAGCAATATATTTTTCAGAAAACAGATCGATGAAATTAATAGCTTGATATATTTATTTTTTAATATAAAATAGTGATATATGTATATATATATTTTTTAATTACGCGTTTGTTTAAATTAATTTTGATTAATTGGTGTTGCTATTAGTAGGAAACGTAATGAGTATTTTCTGAAGACCATAACTTATATTTTCCCGTATAACAAAATGCCACGTCGAGCAGTGAAGGTTGGGTTTAATTGAAGGTATGTCGTAGGCAATCCAGATATACTGATCTGCGGCAACTGCAGGGAGATGTTCACGGAACTCGGGGAGCTGTTGGAGCACAAGCGGAACTACTGCAAGCTGCGGTTCACATGTAAATGTCACACCTTCAACGGAGCCGCCCCAAGTATGTACTCGAAATAAACTTCGAGGCGCCTCCTTCCGGTACGTAAACGCGCTCCGAATCCCACCGGAAGATCCAAAATTAGTATAATTATCCATCCACTTTATCTATCGATCTTAAATCGACGATTATCTTCGTCGATTGTTCAATAACAATTTTTTACAACGTCGCTGCGACATAAATCAAATCACTTGCATCTTGTTAAAAAAAAATAGACTTATTTATCGAGTTTTAATTTAATCGAGTGACTTTTTTTACGGCGAATTGATCGGTTAAACAAAATAAACATCCTCGTGTTCCGTTAGGATAAATTAATTAATCATGTTATGTTGTGTTTTATTATTGTAAATCAGACAAATTTAAATTCTTTACTTGTATTATAAAAAAAGATTCAGGTGCGTTACGCTGTAGAAACTCCACCCTCCCTTATGGCGGCTCGAATCATGCTTTTACACGATGAACTAAAAACAAATCAAAATAAGACAAAATTCATCAAACATTAATCGTATGTAACTTTATAACCCAACAGTTTCCTCGTCTAATATTGATGAGGGAAAGCTTTATGTGTATTTGAGTATAATAAAAAACAATCTCAAGATTTAGAAATTGACAGCAGCAACTATCATGCATTATATGTAGCCCAAAAATGGTCTAAAAATCCGCTGAGAAATCTAATATTTATCTGACACGTGGAATTGCGAGGGAATTACTTATTTCTCCCGAGTTTTGTCTTATTTTGACCTCTTTCTGGCTCACTGTGTGATACCAACCGTGCTTTTAATTTATTCATTAACGTTCCAACGTATACACGAACAGGAGACTCGACGACGGCATTGCTCTGCGTCCTCTGCAAGTTATCTTTTCCAAGTGCTTGGGAATTGATGGTTCATGCTCAGGCAGCTCACATGATCAACATTTACGAGCTAGGCACAAGGGCGCCGAGCCCGTCGCGGAGTCCTAGCCTTGACCAACCGAAGGAGTCATCGCCTTCCCCTCAGGATTTCCAGGTTAGCTCTCTCACCTCGCTCTTATTCCCTTCTATCTAAGATTTATTATTTACGCCGACGTCACGCAGCAATATTTTACAAAATCGCGCAACCCGAACTGAAGAATTAATAACTTCCACCTCGAGAACGGCGGAAGGTGGAACGAACAACTAAAAGAGGCATTTGGAACTTATCTTCAAAGTGATTCAAAAAGTAAAAAGAAAAATTTGTTCCTGAATTATTGACCGTTCAATTTATTTTTGTTGCTTATAGTTAAACTTTTGTCTAATATTTCTGATGGCAACTATAACGGTAAAAACTGTTACTTACATTTTGCTGCAAATTATTTTTCGTTTATTAAATGGATATTCGTATTATTCGTCAATGTGTAAATTACATTTACTTATCAATGTAATACTATATGTAAACCGAAGTATTACAATATCTGCTCGAAAAATTTTTCTTCGCAGATTTTATTTAATCTATTTGTCAATTAATTAACGAATTTTCAAAATTGTTTTATACCGCGAGTATTTTTCGAATAATTAAAATGTAAAATTAACCGAAATTTGAGTCCCTTCTAGATACGTAATTATCTAGCCGTGACGCGAGGGCCAATTATTTAAATAAGTAACATTCTCTCACTTTCATTAATTAATTCGCGTTTCATTACCAACCAATGGTTAAATTATTTACTGACCAGTATTGATGTTATCCTTAATGTATCTGTCGCGTGTGTGTCCCATGCTTCAAATTATTTATATCCTTTTTATATTATTTTACAAAACGAATATAGTTTTTATAAGTTAATGTCTTGAATACAGTAACAAAGCTTTTAGTATATTTTACTTTATTATATTATTTATTTATTTATTTAGGTTGAAAAGTGGACAGCGTATTAAGTTTTAGAAAAAATCTGGAAATTATTTTCTTTATCATGATCTAATTTATTCTAGATTAACGTAAATTCAAGCGGGTCTAATGAGCAAAAGTACCGAAACTGAATTGTTAAAAGCAATTTTGCTGTCTTAACACTTTTTCTTTGATTATATATCTCTCTCTCCTTCTCTCTTTTCCTCGCTGCATCTCTCTCTTTCCTCTTTCTGCGAAATGCCACGCAGCCTTCCGTCACATTTATCGGCGCTTCGTCGCGGAGAGATTCGAGGAAGCAACAAAGAAGCATCGCGACGCTCCGCGTCGTCTGAGACACGAGATATATCCGTGAACGACGACGCAGACAGTCTCGCCGACGACGCTTGACGTGCGCGATTTCCACGAAGTTGTACGGAAGCGGCGGAGTAAGGGGTGCGTTTGCACTCGGCAAAAGCAACCCCAGTGACCGACGCGAAACACGTCGATTCCATCGAGGCTAACTCTGGGGTTGACGTATCGACAGAGAAACATATGACGAAGTAATATTTTTCCGTGCCCCCTCGGGTGATGGCATTTTCCCGCCACTCGCTCACCATTTCCCCTTAACAGTTTTCCCATCGACAGATAGCAAAACCGAAAATTGTACTTTTGATGTTAAATATTACACAGACCATTCTCGTTCCTGGGATTTACTCTGACATGTTTTCGTGCAGAATAATGGAGCGGATGACCACAAAGTTTCTAAATATTAAAAGTAAAAATTTCTCGTCTAAAATTTGCGCCTAATTTATTTATTACCATTCCCTGTCGCGAGCACGCGGTCTCTGTCAGCGCGAGGATAAATGATACCAATGCAGATCCTTTTCGCGTCGCACAGCTGTCCGAGTCAACGAATACGTTCGTTAATCGGTTTCCCGTCTGCGGTAATCTCGCGTACCAGTATTGATCTATGGAATCTATGACAGGAAATCAAGGCTACGGATTGCGAAGAGCGCGCGGAGGAGGAGGAACTTGATGGACACGAGTTAATACCGTCCCCGGACAGTGGCAAGTCAACGGACAACGAAGCGGCTCTATCGCCGATCAAGATTCGATCTGACGTTAACGGGTTGGATCAGGAGGACTGCGACGAATTGATCCACGTCGAGAACACCACGCAGGCATGCATCATGCATACTCTCAGCATTGTAAGTTTTTAGTTTCATATCCTTTCGTATACACATCTGCGAACGTTTCGAAATGTTTAAATACGAAAAATCTAATTAAAAAGATGACTGTTAAAAATTCATTTCTTTTCGGCAAACAATTTGAAATTATTAAATTTCCATTTTAATAAGTTCTTAAAATTGTATAGCATAACTATTTGTTTGATATTTAAGACTTTAATCATTATGATCAAAATAAAAATAAGTAATACGATATTTGTGCTCAAATAATGTGAAAAATAAGGGACAGATACATTTTTGCTGATTGGTGAATGGATATAATGCAGTCAGAAATGGCACGATGACAGAAAATATCATCTGAGATCACGCGTCTTGTCGTAAGATTGGTAAAAAGCGTAAAGATCATAATGGATTCAGCAAGACGGCGTTAATGACTGGCGTCGCTGTCGTTATGAAGCAGTTAAAAGCAGTCATCCACGATAGAGAATCGTTCTCTTGGGTGCATATTAACAGGGACTGTCGTAAATCGACGCTGTCGGCGTCAACGATGACCAAACAACGCTGACGACAGTGATATCGCAATACTTTTTTTTCCGAGTAATAAATCGTACCGCTCCGATTTCCGCTAACGATCGCTGAAAAATAGTAGCCATTGAAACCTTAAAACACTAGAAGAACGCGATTCGAGGATGCTTTGGTCCAAAAATATTTTAAACTCGCAACGTTATCAATCTTATAATTCACGTGATAATTATTAGATCATTGTTAAAATTTGTTCACGCTATCTTTCTGTTACAGGATTCGTCCTTGGAACTGAATTCTGACACGAACTCGAGGACAACTTCTGGAACGGTGATGGCCTTGACCAATGGTTCATTATCGGCAAAAGAATAAATGAGAAATCAGAGAAGAGATAATTAAAAGAAAAAAATAAAAAGAATATTCATCGGAACGGTCTTCCCCGGCCAACCAACGAGACATATCGATCTCCTTTAAGAATAACGCACCCGTTTGTATATAGCTTAATTGCCTAACAAATTATTCAGGATCGCTAGATCCCGTGGTCTATGCCGGCTGATCGAGTATCGATCATCTTCCTAAAAAAAAAAAATATCAGTTCTGGTTCTGGACTTTTTGCACTTGTAATTTCGCTCCAAAATTTAATTTAGAGCAAGTCGAGATGAAAATAAAATATTATTTGTTTTAGTTTTTTTTTAATTACGTAATAACATCGAGTATTACACAATTTAATTGTTTTATAGATCTCTCAAATTTGTATAGGTTTGTTTCGTTTTAAGAGTAAATTTTTAATTTATTAAATTCTTATATAAATACAGATTATTGGATTCTAAACAAATCAAAACTTTCAAATTTTTATTTTAATCATCTTTTACGTATTTTAAAATTCTTAGCTTTATACATTCAGTATTTCAGTATTTTTGTCCTAAAATTGTTAAATTATTGGAGCTTTAAATTGTTTAATTCATAGATTTTTAGATTCTTAGCTTTAGATGTTCGGAATTCATAAGCCATGAAATGTTTAAATCCATGTAATGCAATTATAAATTGCAAATACTTGAAATGATTTTATAGAGTGTAATACAATATGTTTTAGAGGATTATGATACAATAAGTTTGTTACTTAATTATATAAAATCAAGTGCTTTTAGTCATCTCGATGGCAAAGAATCTTCGTGGATAAAATATTAGCCGAAAAAAAATCATGAATGGATTTAATACTTAGAAATCTTAGGAATTATTTATTTACTAGTTATTACCTTGAGTGAGAATTAATTTCTTTAAAAAAATTATTTTATAATAATAACGCCGGTAAATAAATAATCCCTGGATATTGATAAAATTGTTTGTTAAAAAAGCGAAAAAGCGTCTTACTTCTTTTCATAGCGATCTCACATGCGTGTGTGTAGGTTAAACATAGATTGTCACTTAATTATTTATGAAAGGACATATCTTCCTGTAAACAATGATGTCGATGGCGAACTAATAACGAAATTCCGTGATACGAATTAAAACTTCAATCATTACTAAGGCAACAAATCCATTTCTCTACTGTTATCTGTTCCGAATTTCCTTTTTTGAGTTCTAATATCCCTCTCTAGTCATGCTACACACAATTTGAACAATTGTGATCTATTTTAAGAAGGAAACGTAGTATAGAGAAAGCGAGAGGAGACTCTATCGGCGGCTGTTATCTTAATTTTATATTATCACGATTCTTTATAATGTTAAGCATTTTTAATTTCTGCAATTGCTTAAATTTGCGTAAATCTAATAGCTGAGTCCACGTACGAACGTATGCGAGTTTTATAAATCTATCAATTCCGATCTAAACGATCGATTACCCTGATATTCTATAAATAAATCGGATAGATTAAGCATTTGCTAATTTATAAATATAGCTATTTTTGGACCTTCAGAGAGATCTGCAAATTTAGAAGTATATGTATAAATCAACAATCTACAAATTTAGCAATTCTGCATTGTTATTACTTTTAGTTATTGCTTTTTCAGGCTTTATTTGATTTTTATTTAATTTCTTATTTAAACATGGCAATGAGAATCAAAACAATTATATGTTTATAAATGGAAAATAGTTTGTTATGTGTTTTAAGAAATTAATCTACTTAACTTTTTTTTAATTTGCTATCCTGCGTTTTTAATATCTTGCTGGTAATTTGCCATCGACAGCCCCTGTAGTTTACGTATATCAAAAACCTAGGCATTTTTTGGGACAGTGTGCAATTTAAAAATGCAATGCAATTGCGTAAAAATAATATTGTCGACAGCCGGAAAAAATCAATCGAGCTTTTATGAGGCCTGACGCGCTTCTCTTCCTGCGTTTTTTTCTCTTTAAAACAAACAAGATAATATTTATTATGTCACATCACGATTAGACGATAGCGACGAGAGTTATTTGTTTATTGCCCCATATATAAACAATGTTTTATGGATCATTAATATCTAAATAAAATATATTACGTCTTTTAAGCCGCCTTCGAACTTCCCATCCTTTACTCACATTTTTTCCTATCTCTTTATATAAATGTACTTGATATCCTAGAATTTTATGCACAGTTATCAAGACATTTAACATATAAATTTTTCTTTTACTTTAACGTTCAAGTAGTTTCTAAGATTTGATTATATTGATATATTTAAAAATAAGTTGATAATAAAAATGAGATATCTTAGTTTTTGAGTTAGTAATGAGCAGATGGTTCTCACATTAGAGCTAGTCTTTAGAGAAAGACAAAGGAAAAAAATTCCACAGTTCTTGGCACGTTCGTTCCTTCGAGCACGTTCATCCCTTCAAGCGGCGCCTAATTACTGTGAGATATCACAGCATCGCGCAGAGCATTACGACGCTTTCCGCAGTTATTTGCCTTCACCGAGAGGCTCGTTACACAAAGATTTCACCGCTCTGTTGACCCCTTGTTACGTACAACAAGTCTATTGTTCCTTCCACTAGCTTATATCAACGCGAGAATCTCAAATGTGCAAAATGCAGATAAGTGACAGAATTTTTTCGATTTTATTCTTCACGATCTAATAGAGTTGATAATGATCTTCTAACTATATTAGTATTTTTTTCGTTAATAAAAAAGAATAAACGAAAATTATGCTAAAGCTTCGCGTAATAAATTTAAATAAGAAAATAGTAATATTTGTTGTAAAATAATTCATCCAGGAAAAAATCATGCAGATATTTACAAAATTAATTTTTCTATACACACATTTTCCTTCCGTAAACTATTTTTAACTCGTTGCCGGCTGCCGGACTTTGCGTATGCATTCACCAACAGCCGGTTGCGAACCGGCTGAGCCACTCACTTGTCTTTCCTTGTCGCTAATATTATTGTGCTAAAACTATTTTAAATCATAAGATAAATATTTTGTGTGTAGATATAATTCAGATTTTAAGATACACTTAGATTAAAAAAAAGGAAAATTTTAATGAGTTTATAAGCGTTTTTGACATAGCAAACTTATTCTTGCACGCACATATTTAATTGCTATTCAGTATAGATAAGATACTATAAATATGCGTACAGTTATATATTGTTATAAAAATTTGTTTCGTCAATAAAAAAACTGTGTCTTTTTCTCATTTCATATTGATTTTTGGTCCCTCTTCCTTATCGATTCTTTTCTCTCTATCTTTTTTTCATTTTTCCGCTAGATGACAACACTTAAAAGATAATCCTTCAATCCACTCTTAAAAAAGGCATGAAAGATCGATACTCGAATGTATCGAAATCTCGAAAGTATCGAAGTTTATTGTTGCATTTTTATCGCGACGCTGATTGGTTATCTCAATGTCATGTGCAAAAAATATATTTTGACAGTTTATAATGGTTGTCAAGGCAATATTGATCATGTGCAAAAAATATATTTTGACAGTTTATATTTAAATGGTTGTCAAGGCAATATTGATTAGCAATTTATAAATGTTTCTATGACAATTGCTTACATTTCCTCGAGCTGTCAAGTTGTATCCACTCTTAAAAAAGGCATGATAGATCGATACTCGAATGTATCGAAAGTCTCGAAGTTTATTGTTGACACTTTTCCGCGTCGCTGATTGGTTATCTCGACGTGAAGATTGACAGTGTTCAATTAGTATCTCGATGCAAAGATTATATATAATACAAGTAAGATTATTAAAGAGGTAATATATCTGAATCATCCGTGCACGTGAATATGCTTTTGCGTGAACTGAAGTAACGAACACAATAAAATCTCAAATTTGCCTTTGACGGTAAATTTTAATCGTTGCAGTAATAATATTATTACCATACTTAGCAGAAATAATTTTAAGAAAAAACCCAGGCAACAAAGGAGAGAAAGAGAGAAAGAAAGAGAGAGAGAGAACAGAAGAAAGAGGAAGAAGGAAAGTTCAATAAAGAAAATAAATAAGATCTATATATATACAGAGTGAGGCATCTAAAACAAGCCATCTGAATAACTCTTTTATTTTTAATAATAACAAAAAAGTATTTCAGACAAGATTTGCATGATTTCGAAGGAGTCATTACATAGTATAAATGTAATACATAGTACATATGTATTTTTTTTATAGTGGAAGGCGTGTCGGAGATTTATAATAAAAATAAAATAAAATAATAAAATAAATATAAAAATAAAATAATAAAAATTACATTTCTTTGACATTTCTTTTTATCTACCAAATATTTGGTAATAGTTACTAAATCACTTCGTCGTCATTACCAAATATTTGGTAATAATTACTAAATCACTACGTCGTCATTACCAAATATTTGGTAACAATAACTAAATCACTTCGTCGTCATTACCAAATATTTGGTAATAATTACTAAATCACTTCGTCGTCATTACCAAATATTTGGTAATAATTACTAAATTACTTCCTCGTCATTACCAAATATTTGGTAATAATTACTAAATCACTTCGTCGTCATTACCAAATATTTGGTAATAATAACTAAATCACTTCGTCGTCATTACCAAATATTTGGTAATGGAAAACAAATTTTCCGAGTCGTCATTACCAAATATTTGGTAATGGAAAACGAAATTTTCGAGTCGTCATTACCAAATATTTGGTAATGGAAAACGAAATTTTTGAGTCGTCATTACCAAATATTTGGTAATGGAAAACGAAATTTTCGAGTCGTCATTACCAAATATTTGAAAATAATTACTAAATCTTGTCGTCCTTATTACCAAATATTTGGTAATAATTACTAAATTTTGTCGTCCTCATTTTCAAATATTTGGTAATAATTACTAAATCTTGTCGTCTTCATTACCAAATATTTGGTAATAATTACTAAATCTTGTCGTCCTTATTACCAAATATTTGGTAATAATTACTAAATCTTTTCGCCCTCGTTGACAAATATTTGGTAATAATTCTAAATCTTTTCGCCCTTATTACCAAATATTTGGTAATAATTACTAAATCTTTTCGCCTTCATTACCAAATATTTGGTAACAATAACTATATCACTTCGTCGTCATAACCAAATATTTCGTAATAACTTCGTAT